CAAACAAAGGTTATATGAGCCCCACACCTATTTTATCTCATTCAACTGGTGGATAACCGCCTTTAACCCACTATCCAAACACCATCCTAAAGTCAATTAGCTTGAGATGATAAAAAATGAAGTCAATTGGCACATAAGCCAATATGACCATACCAAAGCCTCCCGGGCCTCCACACATTAATGTGGAGCCCTCTTCCTGGTTTAAGCCTGTAGAGTGTAGAGTGCCTCAATTTTCTGTCCTCGAGATGTTAGAAAACTTCCCTTTTCCAGACCCTCATGAGAGGGGTGGACCTAGAGCTAAGAGACTGTCTCTCACTCTCTCTCTCTCTCACACACACACACACACACAAACACCTAGGGTTGGTACATTTTATGGGTCCTCCTGCATACTTGCGTCCATGTGACAAAGTAGCAATGTAATAAATTCTTTCAAGTAAAAGCAATGTGCTGTGAAAAAGTGAGTTAGGGTCTTAACAATTGCTTTCACTTTCTCTGCAGTCTGCAACTCTGAACCCCTTCACTTGGGAGTGCGGAAACAAATTGCAATGAAAACTTGTTTGCAAGAATGTTAGATCTCTCATGCTTTTCTATCTACATCATAAAGTGGGTAAAGATGACCCAGCATTTGATGAGACAGCAGCCAAACACTACCCAATCCTTGAAGTTTTGTCATTGTGGTGATTGGACCACTCCAGTTAAAACATTTGTGGTTGTTTTTCAAAATGATATCTCTCTCTCTCTTGGTTTGTTTTGGTAAACAAAATTCATGTACTATATCATTACACCAATTATTTTTCCCAAATGATCATGAGGTAATTAAAGTTGCAGATCAAATAGTCAAAATATAAAAAAAGAAACACACTTTTTCTCTCTCTCTCTCACACACACAGAGAAAAGCATTTGAAGTGAAAGAAAGGGTGGATGAGAATATCCATGCTGTGATACCAACCTTTATGGCAAAAAGTAATGCGGAGAGACTGTTTAGAATCGCCTGACGAGGATCTTCTTTTAATCCCACTGACCAGATTGTGAGTTTTCACTCATGCATGATGCTCTCATTGAAATATGAGAAAGTTGAGACCCACTCTAGAATTTGGAGTTCAATAAAAACAAAAAAAAAAATTCAGAGAGAGAGAGAGAGAGAGAGAGAGAGAAGCAAGAGGAGGAGGAGGAGGATGTGAAGGGTTGATGTTTCCCATGCTAGTGCACAGCAACATGCATGGGTCCCTGCTATGGCTGCTGTATGGTGGGGACAACGACCCCACTGCCTTATCAGTTAAAAGTATACTCACTAGCTTTTTTCACAGAAGAGGACTGCTTGAGTGGTGTAGTGTTTTTTGGCCTCGTGTAAGCTCATTACACATTACATAGGAGACTGTTTTTTTGGTACCATAGTGAAACTATTACTAAATCAAAACTTATTTTGGAGAGATACATCAAAATGAGATTGTTTAGGATCGATTATAAAATTTTTACTGTTAAATCTTTCTCTTTCTTTTGTTTTTTGGTTATAACCAAGTCTTGATTAATTATTACTTAATCTAAAAAAATTATAATTTGACCAAAAAAGTGANTATAATATTTTAAATTTAAGGGGTCTGAGTATTATATACTTACTACAAACTTCAAAGGGATTTAAGTATAATTTATTAACGAAGATATTAATCTTGAAGGATTTAAGTATTACATGTATATAAACTTGAGGAAATTTGTGTTTAATATTTTAAATATTAGGGGTTTGAATAATTCAATGACAAATTGCAGGGGAACTAAGTGTAATTCTCCCTAGATAAATCTCCCAAACCCAGAAGTCATATCCATCCGTCTGCTATTGATGTCTGCAACTCCCATATACATCCCACCACCACCATCGCCACCAGAATTCACCTCTCCATCTATCCCACCACCTCCACCTCCACTCCCATCTTTCTCCCCTATAATAGAAACGCCACCACCACCACCACAATAAAAACACCCACCACCACCACTACCTCCCACCACAACAATTCAATACTTCCTTCAATTCCAAATCGTACATAGAATCCCAAACAAAGGTTTCGTTTGACTAAAAGCCCTACCCAAACGTACTCAGATCTGAGCCTTGAGCAAGGCCTCCAATGTAACGCACTCTGATTGACGGGAGAAGAGAGAGGGCAAGAGAGGAGGGGCAAAGATGTCTTGGATAGGGTTATCCTCTTACTTGGGTTTGTAACCCATGGGAGGGGTGGGTTAAGTGTAGCCGGTGTAGGAGGGTTAAGTGAAACTGTAGAAACCGGGTCAAGTCTTGACCCGGGATTTGTATCCAATCTCAAAAAAAATTTCCAAACAAAGGTTATATGAGCCCCACACCTATTTTATCTCATTCAACTGGTGGATAACCGCCTTTAACCCACTATCCAAACACCATCCTAAAGTCAATTAGCTTGAGATGATAAAAAATGAAGTCAATTGGCACATAAGCCAATATGACCATACCAAAGCCTCCCGGGCCTCCACACATTAATGTGGAGCCCTCTTCCTGGTTTAAGCCTGTAGAGTGTAGAGTGCCTCAATTTTCTGTCCTCGAGATGTTAGAAAACTTCCCTTTTCCAGACCCTCATGAGAGGGGTGGACCTAGAGCTAAGAGACTGTCTCTCACTCTCTCTCTCTCTCACACACACACACACACACAAACACCTAGGGTTGGTACATTTTATGGGTCCTCCTGCATACTTGCGTCCATGTGACAAAGTAGCAATGTAATAAATTCTTTCAAGTAAAAGCAATGTGCTGTGAAAAAGTGAGTTAGGGTCTTAACAATTGCTTTCACTTTCTCTGCAGTCTGCAACTCTGAACCCCTTCACTTGGGAGTGCGGAAACAAATTGCAATGAAAACTTGTTTGCAAGAATGTTAGATCTCTCATGCTTTTCTATCTACATCATAAAGTGGGTAAAGATGACCCAGCATTTGATGAGACAGCAGCCAAACACTACCCAATCCTTGAAGTTTTGTCATTGTGGTGATTGGACCACTCCAGTTAAAACATTTGTGGTTGTTTTTCAAAATGATATCTCTCTCTCTCTTGGTTTGTTTTGGTAAACAAAATTCATGTACTATATCATTACACCAATTATTTTTCCCAAATGATCATGAGGTAATTAAAGTTGCAGATCAAATAGTCAAAATATAAAAAAAGAAACACACTTTTTCTCTCTCTCTCTCACACACACAGAGAAAAGCATTTGAAGTGAAAGAAAGGGTGGATGAGAATATCCATGCTGTGATACCAACCTTTATGGCAAAAAGTAATGCGGAGAGACTGTTTAGAATCGCCTGACGAGGATCTTCTTTTAATCCCACTGACCAGATTGTGAGTTTTCACTCATGCATGATGCTCTCATTGAAATATGAGAAAGTTGAGACCCACTCTAGAATTTGGAGTTCAATAAAAACAATAAAAAAAATTCAGAGAGAGAGAGAGAGAGAGAGAGAGAGAGAGAGAGAGGCAAGAGGAGGAGGAGGATGTGAAGGGTTGATGTTTCCCATGCTAGTGCACAGCATCATGCATGGGTCCCTGCTATGGCTGCTGTATGGTGGGGACAACGACCCCATTGCCTTATCAACCAAAAGTATACTCACTAGCTTTTTTCACAGAAGAGGACTGCTTGAGTGGTGCAGTGTTTTTTGGCCTCGTGTATTTGAAATAGGGTAAGCTCATTACACATTACATAGGAGACTGTTTTTTTGGTACCATAGTGAAACTATTACTAAATCAAAACTTAATTTGGAGAGATACATCAAAATGAGATTGTTTAGGATCGATTATAAAATTTTTACTGTTAAATCTTTCTCTTTCTTTTGTTTTTTGGTTATAACCAAGTCTTGATTAATTATTACTTAATCTAAAAAAATTATAATTTGACCAAAAAAGTGATTAAATTCTGTACCATCTCTCTTTCTATAGTTCCACGCCTGTTACCAAGCTGCGGCAATGCATGTGAATAAGTACTATAAATAATCACATGGTGTAGTACGAACTCCTTGGACCAACATGCTGCTGTTGCATTCTGTATCTCTATATTTGTAATTATTAGTTCCACCTAACAAAAACAAAGAAGCAAAACAGTTATTATAGCTAAGGTGTGCATTATTGTGAGAATTCATATATTGGAAAGGACTACCCCAGTGGCTCACCATCTGACAATTTGGATTTGATTTTGAACTATATACAAAATTTTTAATTGAGCGTGACACTTGATGAAACGATAAAATTGTTGCATCAAGATTTGATTGTCAGGAGTTTTGACTCAAGAAACAATCTCTCCTCCTTCTCCACCCATCAAATATCCTTATTGCACACCACAAGGCCTAAAGGAATGGAACCTTGTATACTGACCTGCCCTTTTAAAGCTTAAGACATTTTTAGATTGATGGTGATACGTTAGCCATCGAAAATCATGAGATGCAAAAGTAGTTCCCCATTGTATATTCAAACCTTTAATAATTCAAGTGACTTGACTATTCTTACTAGTTCCGGACAGTATGGTGTAATGATTTCAAAAGTAAATAAGACAATCAAGCAAGGGTGTCCAACCGAGGGCTACATTTAAATTGGTTGGTTGAGTTTGGCCCACCTACCAATTGTTTCTCCAAATTTTAGCCCCATTTAGAGCTGCAGAGACCAATCATTCCCCAAAGTTTACCTAGTTTGCCACTTTTAGTTTCAGTCTTTGCTTCTATCATTGGAGAGAGAACATGGCAACAACAGTAACTTGCATTAGCTACTAGCCTACTACACACATACACACACACACATATATAAAAAACAGTAGGTGTATATATACAGCTATTTATAGACACACCTATGTCTTCTCTTTTTAGTGTGTGTTGTGGGTCGGGGGAGGTTGCTACTTTTAATAGAACCCAATTGGTCCAAATGCAGCCCAGTTTTCAGACTAGTCAAACCAAACGATAAGATATACCAAGGTCCGTTATCAAGGCCACGATGGTTTTCAGAAGAATGAGTAACAAAATCAGTTGGGCCAAAGTTTTCTTCAGGATGCTGATAACTTTTAAATGACAATAAATAATTGCGAAATATTACAGTCATTCTACAAAGTATGTGCAAAGCAATGGCATTCATATTTCCATACATGTACATGAAAAATCAGAGGGCATAAGGACCCAACTTTTCTTCTTTTTTTGCCCTCAAATCGACCAAACTGTTCATCTGTCTCTCTTTCTCGATTAATTTACTATTTTTCCTCAAATATGAAAGCGTTGAACAAGGACAAAGAGAGAGAATGCAGGCATACCTCTGCTTCATTGTTACAAGTTATAGGGCTTCATCACTACATACAGCTCCATAGGCACGCAAAAAAAATTCTTCTAGAAATAAATGTCTGTTTGCTTTGATTGTGCTTTGAGGTCTTTCAATTTCTTCAATATGTTTGTGAAGTAATCCTGCAGATATTTCTCTAGAGTAACAATATCGCTTGAATCCACACCAAGTAGGCTGTATGTCTCAGCCATTGGAACTGAGAATACAATATCGCTCGTAAGAACCTACAGAATACCCCAGACAAAACATTAATTTGCAGACAAATAACAGTCATACCAACTAAGAAAATGCTTTTTTTTTTCCTCGAAAAGTAGTAGAACTAACAACTAAAGAATAAACCCTGTAGCAAATGTTAAAAATGGTGACTTTCAGAAAGAGAGGTCAGTGGTTGTATTAGCATGTGAGTAGATAAGGTCAAAGAAAACTAACAATAAATTTTGATCGAACATCCCTATTACTGTTGGAGGAAAAGAAATCATTGATGTAGATCCCTCTGGAAACGACAGACACTCCCAACCTCCAGAGATTCATCAATTACTAGACCAGTTCAACTGATATGAAAGGCTTATTACCTCTGAAAATGCCAATCTATCAGCAACATCATTTGTCCACTCAAAAAACCTAGTCAGCTGACGGGTCACTCTCAAAATTGAGACAGGAACTGTAGTCACGTTTGCATCTTGCCCTGCCAGCCTCTCACAGAGTGTTATCACCTAGAATAGGAAAGCAATCTTAATGAAAAAGAAACTAACTGCTGATTTTTTAGGAAAAGAACAAAACAGTGGTAAGATTACAACAGCTGCTTCTTCAGCTTGATACAATCAAGTTTGCATCTTCCCGCCTCCCACCCCATTATTTTGTTGGCAATCAAGGGGATTTTTGGTAGAAGTTAAATTTAAAAAAAATAGATATCAAGAGCTGAATGAATCAAACATCATCATTTTGGGAGAAAGATATTACCCACCACAAGAAACATTCTGAGCATTAGAAAACAAGACATTTGAAAATAAAATAATCTGATAGTTTCACAATTATGTTCTTTACCTCTTGGGTTGTCCATGCACGAGGCCCTGCAAATGTGAGAAGCTTCCCAGTGATTTTCTCATTGCGCAAGGCAATAAATGTCAATCGAGCTATATCCTGAAAAAGCATTGGAAACTTGTTTAGACCTTATTTTCCTTCATGTAAATAATAAGGGACTAAATTTTATATCTTACTTGCGTGTCCATGTAAGCTATACGTGTTGGGGCATCTGTTCCCCAGACAGACTTATCTTCTAATATAGGCACGGCATACTGCCCAATCAATCCCTGGACAAATTGGCAACAAGACATCGTAATTAATAGCCAAATAGACCCAAAAAAGCGGCATAAAAGGAAGTAAAATCAAACATCCAGAACAATAAAGAATTATCTACGCATGTTTCCTACAACAGCGAACAGCCAAAACACACAATCTTTCTGTTGTACTGTGGCGGAATTTCATCTCAGGCTTGATAAAAGAATTTAGATGTATCTATCTGCATAAGGAACTTTCTAATTATATACATAATGCCTCAATATTCTTGCGTGCTGCAATATCTTTTGCATCACTTTAATTATTTCAAATATCAAAATTTTGAAGGTCCATTTGAGAATAAATTTGCCATTTTACTTTTTATATCTGGATTTTAGCAAAGCCCAGGATATATTTTATAGGGATGATGATCGGAAGCTGAGAGGGTCAATCTTGCAAAATGGCACTCGTGTATGAATTACTAGAAATTGTTTTCATAAAAGACATTTAATTAGCATGCCGAAAACTTCAATTAAGGTGATCCGGGTGACAGTTACCTGCATGAAACCACATAATCGGATTATAATGTGGTTAATGCCCAACTCCTTGAGAAAATTCTCAGTGCAATACTTGATCTCCATCAGTGGCACCTCAGGATGCTTGTCGCAGTTGTGGATGGAGAAGAACACGAACTTCTGGATCCCCATCGCTTTTGCACATTGTACAAGAGCAACTTTTCCTTCCCAGTCTACCTAAAATGAACAAGTCAATTAAATATGGCTGACATGCCGCATGAAAGAGAGATTAAATTATGACCATGTATCACACACACCTTCATAGGCTATGCAGTCATTTGAAATTACACAGCATATATAAAAGCTATCAGTTCGCATATGACTCTTAGCAAAAAAAGTGAGATTTTATTGCTAGCAAAGATGCTTACAGTTTTTATGGGCTCCTCTGGACGTCCTGTGGCACAGTCAATGACTGTATGGATGCCCACCAGTGTTGCAGGTATTGTCTCGGGTTTGCTTAGGTCTGCCTGCTCAGAAAAATTTCCCACTAAATACCTAAACTTCAACATACTACAAAGAATAACTAGTTCATACTTACGTAAATGATGCAAGAAACTCTATAAACAAAAAAAAAAAACTTTGACATTACATTCAGATAAACACATTCAAGGCAGCAGTTTTATTTTAGTTTAATCTTAAACATGCAAAAAAAAAAAACATTCTTCAAAAAATTGTCAAGATGAGCATAATTTGAATGGATACTATATTCAAAGGGTCTTATTTTTTGTTTATGGTTCGGGAAACTCATATTAATAAAGCAAAGTGAAAAGGAGCAACCTTAGAAGTGTGGCAACTAGGGGTGGGACTGGAGCTACTAGCCAAGAAAAATTTTCCTACTTGCAAAAAAAATTTTACCAGCAAATGGTGCTGCAGTCTAAACTGTAAAGTGTAAACACCATGGATGACAAAACAATTAGGCACAATACGATGACTGGCATGAGAATTGGTTTGAGAAAAAAGCGTACATTGACGACGGTGGCGCCCCAATCGCGAAGGAAATCGGCGGGAGCAGGTCTAGGCCTCACGAGACACCGCACATCGTAGCCCTCATCCAGGGCTCGCCTCACAATCTGCCTCCCAAGAGTTCCGGTGGCACCAACCACCAGTATGCTCGTAGACCTAACTGGTGTCCCCGGTGCTAGATTCGTCGCTGCCGGAGCTGCCTGAGCATTACACGTAACTAATGGCCTCCGCACACACTCTCTGGCTGATGGACAATTGCATCAATGTCGTAAAATAAATCAACATAAAGATTGGAATTAGAGGTGAATTCGAAAGCAATTAGTTGTTGTATAACAATAATTAAGCACCTACCCTACCTTTAGGAGACGAATTAGCAAACGAGAGGGACGAGGAGTGTGTGCAAATAAGACCGTGAGGCTCCGCCACTAATGTGCCCCGCCAGAAGATTGACCTTTGGCTTCCGGTGAAAGTTTTGGTTTGGCGACGATGATTGAGGTTGATAGGGGTAGTCAGCTGGGTCTGCAGCCACAACAACGCCATTCGCGCCTCTCTCTCTCGCTCTCTCGCTCACTCACACACACACACACACACACTTTCTCCCTCTATATCTATCAAAATGACAGTGTATAGAAACAGAGGAGAGGAGTGGAAGAAGAACAGGGGATATGGACGTTAAGCATGCCACGTCGTTCTCCAGAATGGATTACGATACGATCAACGCCCGCCCACCACGTTCCAACTCAGACTTTCTTGCTAAAGTGCGCCGCCAATTGCAATTTTGGATCTTCGTGTGAGGCCATAAATATAATCTGGATTGAATCGGTTCGCCACATGGGCCTGGCTTTTCTTAAGCTTGGGCCGACTTAAATTTCTCGCTCAGACATGATTTTATTTTCAATTTTTTCTTTTTTGAATAAAGGGAAAATGGGGATGAGAGTGCGCGCTATTATTTATTAATAACTGTTAGTGAGCACACGTGGCCAAGTTGCTTTCGATTGCGTGCAAGTGGGAAACAAACGGAAAAGGACCGAAAAAGGAAAGAAAATCCCTCTTGGTACTGACCTTCTCGATCGCACGTTTCTTTTACCGTCCCACCAGACTAGTAGCAGGAGGGGCGGCGGCGATGCAGATCCTCTGGTGTTTAGAGGTCTAACAACATAAGTTGCGGTTAATGAGACGACATAGTTTTGGACTAATCTGCTCCAGCCAGCAGTGAACGGCATCGTTTGCTCTTCTTCTCTTAGGTTAAAGGATATCTATTCCCCCAAAAATCAAAACCCTTGAAAATCAGAGTTTGTTGCCTTCTCCAAGCGAAATCCCAGCAGCCATCAGTCATCTTCCTCGTTGAAAGAAAAACGAAAATTCCAGCAGCCAACAAAAATCGCAGTTCGTTGCTCCTCTTAGGTTAGACCTCTAACAACAGACCAGTTCTTGAGCAACTATAGGACCACAAAGTTGACGAATTTTTACCACGGAGCTGCGATATTGCACCACGAAAGTTTCTCATCAAATCACGAACCCCTAACATCAAGAACCATTTCATTCGGCATCCGATGTTAAAAAATCTGAGTCACAAAATTATATTAAGAGCTGGGGAGAGCTCTTTGTGCTGCCAGGCAGCAGCATGGGAAGAAATGCCGTCTAATGGCATTTTTGTAAATAATTTAATTTAATATTTTTTTAAATTTTTATTTTTTTTATTATTATATATCTATTAAAACATGTCCTATAAAAAAATTATTTTCCTATATTTTTTTTTATACCCATACATACTCAGATTTTACATTAACCATTTGAAATTTGAACGTACATAAACCAAAAGAAACTTCAACGTTTGTGCAATGCCTCCATCATTTCCATTGATGTTTTTTACTTACCATTTTACTTTTGGTATTTGTAATCATAATATGTTAGATTCACGGTTGTACGGACACAGTCATTGAAAAATGACTGGATGATTTAGACTAAAATAAAAATGACAATTTATTCATGTGGGAGATGCTATGGTACCACCCACTCAAAATTTGGTACCTTACCAAAAAGGTGTAGTCCTTGCCAAACAAAACGTTACTCACTAGAGGTAATAATTTTACTTATAAAAATTGCATCATTTTTTTTAAAGATCGTAATTTAACCTATAATAGTTATAATTTTGTCTCTAAATGTAATAATATTATCTTAACGGATTGTAAATTCACCTTAAGTGATTGTAATTTCAGCTGCCGTTTTGTTGTAGTATTTTTATATTTACTACTTATAACCTAACTTTAAATAATTAGAATTTTACATCCAAAAGTAATAATTTTACCATAAATAGTTATAACCTCATTTTCAAATATAGTAATTTTACTTTTAATTGTTATAATCTTATCTAAAAAGTTTATACCTCACTTTTAAAGGTGATAATTTTATTTCAAGAGTAATAATTTTGTTATCGATCATGACTGTTAAATGTAATATTATTACTTGTAAAAATAAAATTATTACTCTTGAGATAAAATTATCGCTTTTAAAGGTGAGATACAAACTCTTTATGTAAAGTTACAACAATTAAAAATAAAATTACAATCTTTGAAAGGAAAGTTATAACTATTTATGATAAAATTATTATATTTGAATATCCAATTATAACTATTTAAGGTTAGATTACATTTAATAAAGGTAAAAGTAGCACAAAAAGAATGGCAGCTGAGACCATAATCTTTAAAAAAAAATGGTACAATTTTTATCGACAAAGTTATCACATATTTAATGAATAATATTTTAATATTTAATGAGAAAAATCGAGGATCATACATTTTATTCGGCACCCTACCAAAAAAAGCGAGGGCGGTACCATAGCCTTCCCCTCCATTCCTGTTCAAGGACTAGCACCTGTCTACTGAACGTCACCTAACCTTAAGCACATGCCTTCATTCAGAACTTGTCTCTCTTTACGGGGAAGAGACCATAACGGTGTCGTCTGGGTCACAACCGAAACTTGGGCACCTGATAATAACAAGGCTATGGTCAATTTGTTTTTTTGGAATGTCTTTGTAGTTACTTGAAAAAGTAGTTGAAATTATAATTAAATTATTACAACGCTAAAATATCAATCTTAATATCAATTATTTTTATCTATACTAATAAGATAGATAGAAATTCAAATTTTTCCAATTGAAATCAATCCCCAAATTTAAAAAAGCAAAACAACGATTAGGATTTAATTAAAATTTGAATAAATGGTTCAGATTTCATCTAAACTCATTTAAGTATATCCGATGGCCCATAATTTATCCCACCCAAATTCATCTTCCCGCCCACTTTAACAACACACACACGCCACCTAGCTGACCCATCTCATCTCATCCCTTTCCAAGCAAAACCCAGTTGACACAGAGAACTCCTCTACCATGGCTATCCTTGAACCCACACATCTTCCACCGTGATGGATGCCGAGTAATTCCAGTCCACAAGAGAAGCTGAGCTATTCCCATGGCCACACAACCTGCAACATTACAGTAAGAAATCAAAACCCAGCTGACCCATCCCATCCCAGGCGGCCATCTCTCTCTCTTTCTCTCTCTCTCTCTCTCACACACACACACACTCACACTGAGAACTCCTCTGACATGGCTAAACCAACATCAAATATCTCATGTATTGCCCAGGTACACCTCTCTTAGTCTCTCTCTCACGACACACACAGTGAAAAACACACACAACATCAAACCCACACACACCAGCACACACACATAAATTGATTGAGTCTTCATTTTGGTTTGAAAATTTAACAAAAGTGAATGTTAAACCCGCTTTCTCCCATATAGGTGAAGTAGTCTAATATTTATTCTAACGACTTGATCTTGGTAAGTGCTCCCATGTAAGAGTTATCAGAACATGCAACTAAAACCCCAAGGTTCTGCTCTGAGGCATGACGTTAATGGCTGGTTTAGTGTTGTTGATCGTTGAATACTATTAATTTTGGTTTTAATTTGAGTGTTTTTTTTTTCAAATAAATTTAACAAATTGAATTTTAAATTATTTTGAATGTTCAATTGGTTTGAATGTTCTAGTTAGGATTTTTCGAATGTTCAATTAGTTCGAATGTTATAATTTTGGTGTTAATTGTGTTTATTTGGGTGTTAATTTGAATGCTTTTTTTTCAAATAAATTTAACAAATTAAATGTTAAATTGTTTTGAATGATATAGTTTGGGGTTTTTGAATGTTGAATTGGTTCGAATGTTGTAGTTTTGGTGTTAATTGTGTTCATTTGAGTTTTTCTTTTTCAAATAAATTTAACAAATTGAATGTTAAATTGTTTTGAACGTTATAGTTTACTTTTTCCGAATATTCAATTGGTTTGAATGTTATAGTTTTGGTGTTAATTGTGTTCATTTGGGTGTTAATTTGAGTACTTTTTTTTTCAAATAAATTTAACAAATTGGAGGTTAAATTGTTTTGAATGTTCAATTGGTTTGAATGTTATAGTTTGAGTTTTTCGAATGTTGTAGTTTTTGTGTTAATTGTGTTCATTTGGGTGATAATTTGAGTTTTTCTTTTATAAATCTATACTAATTAGATAGAGAGAAATTCAAAATTTTCCAATTGAAATCAACCCCTCAATTTAGAAAAGTAGAACAACAGTTAGGATTTAATTTAAATTTAAATAAATGGTTCAGATTTCATCTAAATTCATTTAAACTCATCCAATGGCCCATAATCTATCCCACCCAAATTCATCCTCCCGCCCATTTTAACGACACACACACGCCACCCAGCTGACCCATCCCATCCCAAGCAAAACCCAACTACCTCATCTCTCTGTCGTTCGCTCTCTCTCTTTCTCTCTCACGACACACACAGTCAAAAACCCACATCTCTCTGTCCGATTGTCAATTGCCGATTGCCTCTGCCATGCCGAGTAATTCCAATCCACAAGAGAAGCTGCCCTATCTCTCTGTCCGATTGCCGGTACACCTCTCTCTCATTCTCTCTCTCTCATGACACACACAGTCAAAACCCACACACCAGTTTCAACATATCGCGCACACACAGAAGGGGTATTACTTCTTTTCTTTTTTTCTGTTGGAACTGAAAAATATAGTTGAGGCAAACTGCATTCAATGTTATTGTTGTTTTTTATGCAAATTGGAATGTTATGGTTTGGGTTTTGGTGCTTAATATTTGTGAAATTAGAAGTTGGGTTTTAACTTGAATGATAGGGTATTTTGATTGAAATATGGTTTTAGTTTTTTGATTGAATGAATTATTTTGATTGAGATTTGGTGTTACTTTTATGAAATAGAGTTAGAGTTTTGTTAATCATATGAAATGGAATGTTAATTAATTTGAAATGTTATGATTTTGGTTTTTATGAAATTGGAATGTTTTGGTTTTGTTGGGTTTTTGATTAAATTAAAATGTTATGGTTTTGTTTTTTTTTTTTGTTTTTCCAATTGGGTTTTGATGATTAATGTTTGTGAACTTGGAAGTTGGGTTTGCTATTGAACTTTAGGGTTTAAAAATTGAAAGTTAGGATTACTTTGATTGAAATTGAGTGTTACTTTCATCAATTTCAAAAGTTTCCAATTGAAATCAATCCCCTAATTTAGAAAAGTAGAAGAACGGTTCAGATCTCTTCTAAATTCATCTAATTAAATCCAATGGTTCATAATCCATTCCACCCAAATACATCCTCCTGCCCACTATACCTACACACACGCCACCCATTTTTTTTTTTTATCAATATTCCACCCAATTCAAACGTCTTTCTCTCTCTCTCTTGCTCCTCCCAATTCAAACATCTCTCTCTCTCTCGCTCCTCTGTCATGGAAGACGCTAGGTACCCCCCCCCTCTCTCCCTCTCTCTCAGGAACGAGCCCAGGTAACTTCCTCTCTCTCTTCGCATAGACACACACAATACATATACACAACACACACATGTTCGAACACACACACACACACACAAGTAGTAGTACACATATATCGCAGAGAGATAGAGGTAGTAGATACACACACACAGAGACAATCGCTTACACACACCACACAGTCATATTCACACACACACACAAACAGCAAGCACACATATTTTAAAGCAATTTTTTGGATGTTAATTTGGGTGTTCAAATTAGTGGCTAATTTTCAAATTGGGGTTTCCATGACATCGTGTTTGTTACATTTCAAATTAGTGGCTATTCTTATGGTTTTTAAATTGAATGTTTGGTTTATTTTGGATTGCGATTGAGTTTTATTAATTTGGAATGTTATGGTTTGAGTTTTTTAGGGTTGTTTTGAAATTGGAATGTTATCGTTTTTTTATGCAAATTGGGTGTTAATTTTATAACATAGGGTTTTGGTGCTTAATATTTGTGAAATTGGAAGTTGGGTTTTAAAATTGAATGGTAGGGTTTTGGTGCTTAATATTTGTGAAATTGGAAGTTGGTTTTAGTTTTTTGATTGAATGAATTATTACTTTCATGAAATAGCATTAGAGTTTTGTTAATCATATGAAATGAAATGTTATGGTTTTTTTTTTTTAACAATCGATTGGGTTCTAATTTTATAACATAGGGTATTGGTGATTAATGTTTGTGAAC